ATTAGGATACTCCTAAACTGGCCTTTGCTAAAAACTCAAGGGGCCAAAGAGTCACATGTGGTGTGTGGCCGCAGTGTGCCGACCACTGGGTTAGTTACTTAAGTTTGTGTTCTTCGGTTCTCTTGTGCCTTAACGGGAATAATAAAAAATTGTTGAGGGGAAAAGAATAATATTGAGCTAAAATAACAACATTGAGCTAATAGTGCATGTAGAACACTTAACTTGTGGCATATTGCAAGAACTCACTTGATGCTAAGTAACTTGATGCTGATAAAGACAATGGCAATGACTCCTTTAGTTTTTGGTTGATCTTATCTGCAGAATCCATGGCTTGAACAGGAGCTGGATCCATCCCTTGGATGCTCATGTTATTTCAACATAGATGAGTGATTTTAACCAAAAATGTGAAACGCCATGATTCTTTCTTTCTTGATTAATTGACTTATGCTTTTTTAAAACAAAACATTTGTTTGTTATACTGTATGCAAAACAATGTTTTTGCATACAGAATCTTCATGTGAAACTCAAATGACCCAGTGATGTAAATATTTTCTTTATCTTCCCCACTTTACCAATAAAAAGCAGAAGCTTAAGGTAGTTACAGGGCATGTTTCAAATCATAGGGCATCAAGTGGCAAATATGCAAATGAGGGCCAATATGCTGACTGCCCACAGGGCTTTTCAGTATACCATTCCACTTAAATTGTGGAGACTTCACTTGAGCTCTGCTCTCACTGGCCTGTGTAACTTTTCATTTCAGACTATTTCTGGATGCTCATGCTTCCTTCTAGCTCTTACTGAATTCGTCATGGCATCTTATGAGAGTGTTGTTAACCTCTGGCCTCAGGCTCTGATGACTCTTGACAACCTCTTATTTTCTTTCCACTTTAAAAATTATTATCCTATCATTACAGGATGTTTGGGAAAACAGTTCCACAGTGCCTACTCTTCAAGACTGGTTTTGCTTTGCTGTCTTTCCTCTTCCCATCCTATTTATTCCACAAACATTTGTTGACAGGCAGGTATTGACAACACCTGACATGTTAGGTATTTTGCTAATTTGTGGGAATAAAAAGAAACACTGAATTTCTAAACTGATTCTCTGATTTTGCTAGTTTCTTCTGATCTAATTTCCACAGATAGGACTAATTTTATCTTTGAATTATTTGAATTGTATTGCTAAAACACTCCAATTCAGCCCTAACCAGTTTGGCTCAGTGGATAGAGCATCAGCCTGCAGACTGAAGGGTTCCAGGTTTGATTCTGGTTAAGGGGATGTACCTTGGTTGTGGGCACATCCCCAGTACGGTGTGCGCAGGAGGCAGCTGAACTATGTTTCTCTCTCATTGATGTTTCCAACTCTCTATCTCTCTCCCTTCCTCTCTGTAAAAAATTCAATACAATATATATTAAAACACTTCAATTCAGTCTAACCCCAAACAACCTTTTCACATATACAACCAGCTACAGTAGTTTTTTTTTCTTCCCATCTATCTTTTTTGTTTGTTTGTTTTATTAATCCTCACCAGAAGACATTTTTTTTCCTATTGTTTTTAGAGAGGGGAGAGACAGAGAGAAACATTGATGTGAGAGAGACACATCAATAAGCTGCCTCCCACATGCACCTTGGCTTGGGCTAAGGATAGAGGTACAACCAAGGTATATGACCTTAACTGGAATTGAACCTGTAATCACATCCCCACAATCCATGGGCTGATGCTCTAACCGCTGAGCAAAACCAGCTATAGCTCTACCCATCTATCTTAATTCATGTGAAAGTTTATATGCATACTGTTTGCACTGCTTTCTAGCTTTTTGTGTGTGTCAGAGTTCCTATGTAATCTTTTCAAGTTCACTTATACACTCTATAATTCACTGAATCAAAATAAATAATCTTTTTTTTTTATCTAGGTCTCAAGATCCACATTTCATCTTTATTCTCTTTAACTTCATAAAAAACTAAGCCCATCTATTTCTCAAAACTCTGTGAACTGACTAGCAATTTAATGCCGAAAGAGAGCCATAGAAGTAAGTGTTGTATTTCTACATCCACACCAAATTCAATCTGTAGGCGGGCTTCTCCATAAACCTGTTTAGTTTAAGTGATGCACATAAGGGATTAGCATTCATGTGAGTCAAGAAGGCACAAAAATACTTATGCCTCTTCCTAAAATCTGGAGATTTTTTACTTTTCCATCATCCTCTTTAAATCCTCATCTCCTAAATTCTTGATATTTATCTCTATGATGATATAATGATCTGATCCAGATTCAGGCTATCTCTCAGGTCTTTCCTGTACTCTAAGATATCTATGGAAAGATTCTCATTTAAGATAATTGACTACTGATACCAATTCATTCACTTTCCAAGAAGAAACAAAAAGGTAAATTTTAAATGTACCAACTCAGGCTTACTTTTGGCCTGTAAGACCCAATCCTCTGTAAGGTTCAACCATGCCTAAAAATTCTCCTGTTTTAAAAATAATAATGCCCTGAAGAAAAAAAAAAAATAGAGTGATGTGCTTTTTTTTACAGCCCCTCCAAGAATTATGTAAGTCAGTTATACAGGCCATTTCTTTACTGCACTTATTCCTCATTCCAATAATGTGTGTGACATTGGAGGCATTGACTAGTGTAACTTTTAAGTGGTAATGACATCCAATCTGTTTCACAAAAATGAGAGAGAAAAATAAAACATCCCTGCACACATGTTCTCTAGAGAAATGGCATGCCCTAGAAATGACATGCATTCGTTTTTATGAGAAAGGCTCCCCACTTGGAAAGTGCTGTGTTTCAGCATGCCTAGCAACATGTATTGTCACATATGAAGTCTGATCCAGATGATCCAGCCAACTCTCCCATTTTACATTGCGTTGGTCGGACATTTATTTATGTGCTGGAACAAATTCTGTATTCTACAGCTGAAGGGTCTTGCAGAAGGCTCGGCATTGACATAATCAACTAAAGGACTGGATATAAGCTATAGAAGGGAAGATGAAAGGAAGTGGGCTTTTTGGTTCTAGAAATGTACGCTTATGTTTTCATATGTCCATTTAGGCTTTTTATAGTCCCACTGAGGAAAAACCCATAGGACTGGAATGGACTTGCAGCAACAGAAAGTTAGGTTAGCTAAGAGAAGGGAAGTCTACGTACGTTAAACCAGTTTCAATGGGGAGTAGTAAAATCTCTGAACATCGTTGTTTAGGTCAGTTCATTATGATTCCCTTGAATACAAGGATATGAACCAGACAAGCTCTTTTCTAGCCCTTGCTAAGTAACATACGTTTAAAATTACTGTGATTATTAGCATATGGACTGATTTTTCTTGGCATAATCATGAGATATAACAAAATAGGCACAAACAAGTTACTCCCTTAAAGTGTTTGTTGAAGGCATTATAAATCTTTTTTTTTAAACTTTCATTTGAGAAAAATTTATTACTAAATTTGGTTCCTTTAAAAAATCATTATTCCCCCCCCCCCCCCCCCCCACCCCTACACACTGTAATACTGGTGGCAGGTTTTTTTTTTTTTTTTAATTTTCTGTCTAAAAGTAGATTCCTACTGGACTTGTGAATATTTGATTCTGCATAATGATTAGTTAAGAGCAGGATGATGTAGTATAAAGATATCTGAACTATAAGACAGAGTACCGTGGTTCCACTGTTCTCTCTTCTACTAGCTAGTGGTGTGACCTTGGACATGTCATTTTTGAATATGATTCCTGAACTCTTCTGACAGCCTCTTCACAGCATTAGATGAGTGATGTCTTACATTATTTTCTTCCTTGAAATTCTACTCAGAAATTTTATTGAATCATAGTTTACATAAGTCAGTATTTTATATTTTTAACATACTTAAAAATAGATTATTTTTACCACACTTTAAAGTCCTAACATGAGTTAACTTGTTAGTGAACAGTTAAAATGCACCAAGAGAGGCATAGAGTTTAAGAATAATTAGCTAATACAACAAGTGGTTACCTTGTAATGGGTAAAAGTTTATAATTACAACACAATTTCTTGTGACTCAACTATCCAATAGCTCTCATCTTTCATTTAATATGTTTTGGTAATACACATGGATATTTGTTCCCTTCACATACCATTGTATATTACTTTTATAAAACGATTGATTTCATTATAAATATTCAGAAATATAAATATAATAATATGTTATGTATTAAAAAAATCAAACACATGATCAGATTTTCATACAATTGTAGTAATTTCCAGCTGCCTTAAAATAGTAATAATGAATGTTATTGTCATTGGGATTTACTTCAGTTATTCAAAAATATTCACAAAAATCTGACCTGAATAGTGAATGCAGGGAATTCACTATTTATAAATTCATAAATTAAATCCAATTCTGATATTTAATATCTTAAAACTCAGATGAAATACTACTTAGGACAGGTTACCCATTCACTTTTGTTAAAAATTCACGAAACATTTAAGCTGTACATTAGCAGCCTGACCTATGGTCAAAGCTGGTTTGGGAACATATTGAGGAGTCCAATCTTCATATTTTAAATGAGACAAAATATCCTTTGGAGATTCACTATCAAGAAAAGTCACTCTAGTGCTATCTACTCTCTCTGTTGGCAAAAGAAGGGAAATAAAAAGAATTCATTTAGACCTCGCACTTATGCGTGAGAATATGCATTTGTTTCAGAGTATGCCATCTAACAAGAAAGTTTGTCTTGTAGCTCTGCTGATACATAACTTAAGAAAAAGAAAAGGGATGAAAAGAACATCTTAGTTTATGGAGGAAAAGAGGCGAGTCACTCCGGAGCCTATGTCAGCACTGACATTTTGCTAAAAACAATTTGACTCTCAGTTTTCTACCCACTACACATTTTCCACTCCTGATTCCGTGGCTCGGCTCTAAAACCTAGCAAATCCACCACTTGCTGCAAGAGGCTGACACTTCTCCCCATCCCTCTGCCTCTCCAGAGATCGCCTCCAAGTATAAAAACAGGGAGCCCACCGCGTCTTACCTAGACCGGGAGGAGCTGCGACGCCCAGGCGTGACATAGTTCAACTCTCAGGTTAGCCAAGAAGTCTGCTGCGCCGTTAGTTTCCCCAGCATCTACGTTCCCGGACCGTTGGTTGAGATCATGGCTCTATTCTAAGCAGTTCTGCGCAGTGTGTGATCCTCACAAAAACACCCCCGGCAGCTGGAGGGAGCCTCAGCCGGAGCAGGAGCCTGTCAAGGCGCTCCCGGGACTTCTGTCTCCTGCGCTCAGACTGATGTTTTGCGAGAGGGGCCTCCACCAGCAGGCCCAGATTGCCTGGGAAGCATTTCCTGCCTCCCTCCGAGGGGTGTGCATGGGAGAGAGGCTGCACGAGGGGAGGGGAGGGGAGGGAGAGGGAGCGCAGAGCCCGCCTGGGCGTTGTAGGAGTTCTGATTTTACACAGAACTGAAGTGAGTTTGTCAAAGCTCTTGAGGTGATTAGCTGGAGAGTCATAAAGTCCTAGAGGTTTTTTTTTGTTTTTGTTTTTTTTTTTCTTCTAGCCCGCCTTGCTTATGAGGGGGGGGGGGGGGGGCAGGGAAGGAGAAAAAAAGAAAATACAGCTCCCGCCCTCCCCTACAGCTTTTCCAGTCTATGAAATGTATAGACACAACTTCGCCCAAATACCTCTGCAGCTCTCCTTTCAAAAGATCTTTGGAGAGAGCAAGAGACGGAAATGTAGTGTGCATACCGTAATGCTTCCAAAGGTGAAATCCTCTTCTCCCCTTCTCATGCTTGAAAACGCTGAGGCCTTGCAGACTCTATACCTGAGATGGCCTGGGAGTGAAATTCTCCAGGATCCAGGAAAGGAAGGGTATGTTTGCTCCAAAGACCCCAGAATTCTTGCACAGCCTTCAAGCAGTTTGTGTCCTGGCCCATGCAGCCTGCCTTCCCTCTAACTCAGAGTCCTCCCGTTACACAAACTCAGGGCTAGCAGGGCAGAAGACAGACTCCATCTTGATCCTATTACAGCCCTGCTGACATGAACCACTTGCAACTGCTTCCCTCCAGCCTGACAGAGTCCCTGAATCACGTCTCCAGAGCAGCTCACGGATCTGCGTCCTCCGTCCGACACAGATTTTTTGCGAACTCTCATCTGTTTATCTTTTCTGCTTGCCTGAGCCTCCACTGAATGACTTCCTCCTAGCTGCTCCAGGCTGGGAACTTGGACTACCATTTGGTTTTGATTAAAACCAGACAGGCAGCCCGGGAGAATGTAGGGAATAAGCTAATGGAAACAGCAAGTGTGGCTTTAATTAGGGCATCAATTAATAATAGACGCTCGCTTGTCTTAGCATAAGATGACACAGATAGAAGCGCAGGGGAAGCGCAAAAGTTTTAGAAAAGTTGTACCCATTCGCATTCTCTCATGACCCAAGGTTCTCCTTGGGGAGAGCGGAGGGGGGGAAGGGAGGAGGGCGGTGGCCCTGGGACATCAGGTTGAGGAGAGGCCAGCGGAGTGGCCTCTTTGTTTATACCAGGGAAACAGGAAGCGGCATCTCTGAGTTTAATTATCTTACTCGGTTGAAATTGCACAGTAATGTCTCACTTCTGTTTTACTTACAAGTCAATGGATTCTTCTGCTCTGTAGGACGAAAGCATCCCCCAACCCCCGGGATTAGGTCAATCTGATTATTGGATCTATGTGTGGTTTGCACTTTTCTAGAGATTTCCAATAATGAGAGGAAGGAGGGATAATTTCAATACAGTGAATGAGTAATATATGAAGAGGCACAAGAAATATTAAACCTATTAGCCCTAAGATCCCTTATGAGAGGTCTCTGAAATTGTAAGTTGTTTTCATGATTCATGACTCTTCTCAGTTGGCTCTAAGTTTTATAAGGGCTGACAGATACTTGGATGCCACAAGGAATGGATATCGTTTCAGTGCTTCCTGAGAATATCGGGTAGGTGATAACTCAAAGAAGCACGATATTATACTTGCTATTTCTTTTCTTATTAGGAAACTAAAACCTCTCAAAAATAATATCAAGCATGGTAAGTGTCAAGAATGATATATTGTGCGCGAATTTGAAGGTGAGAAGCAGTCAAATAAAGTTGTAGGCAGAAGCAATTTTTTAAAGTTTATATCAAAATATTGCTCATTAAAAACGAGTATTTAGACTAATTTAACCATCAACCATATGGCAAGAAGGAAGCCCATACTTTCATGAATTATTTGAGGTTATTCATCTTTATATTCAAAATGTCTCCACTGAAACTATGCCATTAAATTTTTCCAGTAATCTCTGTGTGTATTCTTATTTTACAGATAAAGTATTAGAAATCTGTGGAAGTAATTTTCTCCCAATGAAATGATAGAAAGTGGCCAACTAGACATTGGAATCCAGATTTTCTAACTAAATTTCATGCTTTTTTCCTCCCTGTCTTTCTTGGCTCCCATTTAATTGCTGTGTGAAATTGGGAAGACTAATAAAACTCTCTTTTAGATTCCTTTTTAAGAATAGGGAGAATTTCACATAATACACAGATTGGAAAGCAGGATTAACTTTATATACACAAATATTTATAAATTTATATTTATAATATTTCCCTAAGGCAACATAATAGCAGAATGGAATAAGAATTGATGTAAGTTCTTTCCTAAAATAACATATATATCTCTATCTCTGCCTCTAGTCCTGCTTCAAGTATATAATAAGTGCTCAATAAATGTCAATATTTTGCTAATTCTTCTTAGCTAGATTCTCGTCATAAATATTATATCCCTAAATAAATTCAGCCTTGTTTCCATTTATATTGGACTGAGAAAAATAACAGAACCCTATTTACATACATTTATAAATGTCTTTTTAGATATCTAGACACTTTTTAAGCAGTTTCTGCCTTAATATTCTCTTCTTTAAACAAAATAAGGCTTTATGCTTTATCTTATTATTAGAAAGATTACTACCCAAATCTTTAATCACTCTTATTTATTTTTCATCCTTCAATTGCCTGACTCCAAACAAATCTCAGAGCTTATTTTCTCATAAAGGCCTTACAAAATATGAGTACAAAGATAAATATTGAGATAATTTTCTAAATATTTAACAATGTCAAGAACATAGCAAATAAGAGGAAAAAAAACTGGCCATTGGATTTAACCATGTGGAAATCACTGTTGATAATGACAGAGAATCATATGGACAGAGTCATGTCAACAAGGTTTGAAAGAGAATTTGAGGAAAGGAATTGAAGACATGGGTCAATTCTTTTGAAGTTTCATTGCAAAGCAAAGCAAGCCAATGGGAGGGTACCTGTCTGGGGCCAGGAAAAACTTTCATTAAGATGGGGGAATAACAGTTTCCAATTAAAAAAAAAAAATTCAGTGTGGTATCTTCCCAAAGGCAGAAAAAAGATTTTGGAGAGAAAAGAGCGGAGAAATGCTTTAGTGGATTTTTTTGTTTAGGAGAGAGACCTTGAAATCTAGGCACAGGGACTGATTTTAGCTAGGAACATGATACATGTGAAGTCTAGTGGGTATTAGCCCAGCTGGTGTAGCTCAGTGGTTGAGTATTGACCTATGAACCAGGAAGTCAAGGTTCGATTCCTGATCAGGACACATGCCCAGGTTGCTGGCTCCATTCTCTCTCCAACTGCCCGGGGTGTTATATGAGTTTCTGGGGGGAGGGGGAGTGAGGATGGGTGTGTGTGTTTGCAGAAAGCAGCTGATCAATTATTCTCTCTCATCATTGATGATTCTATCTCTCTCTCCCTTCCTCTCTGAAATCAATAATAATAATAAAAAGGACTAATGGATATTAGATATCCTAATGTAATTAGTCACTCAGCAAATTCCAGGTAACCACTATTATGGTTTTCATTGCTATTCAATTTTAAATTATTTTGTTGCTCTTCGTCACAAAAAAGATCGTTCCTATAATAAACAATTGATTAAATAGGTGGTATAGAAGAAATAAAACTTACAAAATGTCACAGCTATGCTTCTCTGTGTGATTTTTTGTATAATCCCTCCTCCTATATTTCTTTGATGAAACCTGGTCCAGCCAGGTGCAGTAAAAGTCCTCCCCTCCCCCTGACCGGCACTCTACATCCCAGTTCTATCCCTTAAAGTTGCAAAGAAAGGCTTTGCTTTGTGATTCTCTCATCTTACTGTTGTTTTCTAGTTCTGAGTCCTCTTGCTAGTTTCTTTATTTTTATTTTTAAATTCATCTCTCAGTTTTCCAAATTTAGTTTTATTTTTTTTATTTCCCATATGTATTTTAATACCTCTATTGAGATTTAATTGGGACACAATAAACTGCTCTTATTGAAAGTGTATGGTATGATTGGTTTTGACAGATATTTACACTTCACTACAGTCAAAATAGTGAACACCTCAATCACTTCCAAATCTCCTGTGCCTCCTTGCCATCCTTCTTTTTGGTCCTTTCCCTCCCTCCACCCCAAGCAAGCACTGATCTATTTTCTCTCACTGCAGATTAGTTTACAGTTCTGGACATTTATTTACATGAAATACTATGTATGTATTTCCTTTCACTTAGTCTAAGTATCTGAGATTCACTCATATTGTTGCATGTATCAATAGTTCATTCCTTTTCTTTATTGATTAAGGTTTTACATAAGTGTTCTTTTCCCCCCTGTGTTCCCTCTCCCTCCCCCCGCCCCCCGCTCATATCCCCAACCCCCCTCCCCTGTATCTGTCCATTGGTTAGGCTTATATGTATGCATACAAGTCCTTTGATTGATCTCTCCCCCTTAGCCCCACCCTCCCCTGCCTTTTCTTGAGGTTTAAGGGTCAGATCGATGCTTCTCTGTTGCTGGATCTGTTTTTGTTCATCAATTTATGTTGTTCATTATATTCCACAAATGAGTGAGATCATGTGATATTTATCTTTCTCTGACTGACTTATTTCACTTAGCATAGTGCCCTCCAGGTCCATCCATGCTGTTGCAAATGGTAGGAGTTCCTTCCTTTTTATAGCAATGTAATATGCTATTGTGTAGATGTACCACTGTTTTTTAATCCACTCATCTGCTGATGGGCACTTAGGCTGTTTCCAAATCTTAGCTGTGGTGAATTGTGCTACTATGAACATAGGGGTGCATATGTCCTTTCTAGTTTCTAGTTCCTTGGGATATATTCCTAGAATTGGGATCACTGGGTCAAATGGGAGTTCTATTTTTAGTTTTTGAGGAAACTCCATACTATTCTCCACAGTGGCTGCACCAGTCTGCATTCCCACCAGCAGTGCATGAGACTTCCTTTTTCTCCGCATCCTCACCAGGATCCTTGCCATTCTGACAGGTGTGAGATGATACCGCATTGTCATGTTGAGGGATCCCAATACCAGATATTAA